CTTTGGCCCTTTCCATCTCTTACAGTGTTAACAAAAATAGATGCTTATTGCTTTAATAAAGGTTTTGATTTGGAAATTATTTACCATTTAGACTTTGTACGCTCTAATTGCTTTTGATCCTTTGGAATATCTCTAATGCAAAGCAGCTGAAAGGCTGAGGTTTAAAAATGGGCTCTTGCACATTTGAAGTAAATTTTATCCTGCAATCAGTCGTAAAGATCTTAACTGCAGCTATCACATATCCTAAATATGTAATTGCTGTGGAGCCTTTCCAGTCTATTGGTTACAGGATGCTGGAAAAAGGGGAAAGTGAGTACAAATGTRGGCCCTGATGTCTGTGGGTATTTTGGGGTGGATATTGAGCAGGATTGGTCACCTGCCTGAAATATTGTRTATTTATTTGTTCTAGGATGGAACCTCGGAATTCAACTGTGCAAAAACTAATTAATAATTCCATTTACATGGTGAGCTCRCTGGGTTACAGGGAAGCTTCTCTGRYGAGTAAAGCAATGAATTTTRCTTGGGTTTTGGGATCAGCCCCAAGTAAGAAAGACTTAAGTTTCAAATGTGCCTCCATCCACATGTGGATCTGCCCTAAAATCAGTGGTGATTTTGGTACATGGATCCAGCCCAAGAAGACCAGGATGCTTTTGTCTGCCTGGAYCTAGAGAAAARCTCAAAATACTTGATTTTGAGARATTTTGAACACATGTTGGTCAAATRTTGTCTCGGTATAGACTGACTGGTCCATATCTTGAATGAYCTGTAATGACCAGCATAAAGTGAAATGGCATCTCTTTTTACTTTTAGTATTTTTTTGCTTTCAAGAGAACCCTCTCATATGTCCTGGCCATCCTGAAAGAGCACAGCTCACAAATATTTAAAATTTAACCCAAAGGAAGCCTCTGGTTCTTTTTTTTTTTTAGTATAATATGAACAGTATGGAAGATTGAGCCTCAAAAATTCCTAAAAATGTTTAATGCTCATTGTTGAAACCAAAAARAGGTGCAATTTATCGTTATCAGAAAAACGCTTGCTTTCAGCCCTTTCTTTRAAGGATTGTGTGAGATATTTACATATCAAATCAATGTGAATGGCTGCTAAATACACACCAAAATTCTTCCAGCTGGGAGACACTGAGTGTGCAAAGGCCAGGCCACTTGAATTCTTGAGGAGAGCAGAGGRAGAAGCTCCCCCAAGCCCCAAAGCTGCTGAGATGGAGCTTGGTGGTGGGCAGCTTATATAAACCCTGRATGTGCTCGTTCTGGAGCTACTTTTTTATAACAAAGCCCAAATTTGGAACCTTTCATTCTTATGATTCTACCCCGTGCTTCTCTCCACCCCCTCTTGAGCTCTTGTGTAAAAAATTCAGAAGGTAGCTGTGAAGCTGAAGTTTCTCTCCGTGCCCTTGGTTTGGAGGGACTTTGGGATGCTGAGCTCCACCCCATGGGCTCAGCACCCCAAGGCCTCCCCATGCTCACCAWGGATGATGGGCAGCAAAGAAGACAACAGTGATCTGTATTTAACATTAGGTGGCACAAAAGAGTTTCCTTTAGCTTGCAGGAACACTGAAATCGATGGGCAATAACCGGCAGAGATTTTCTTTTCTTTAAACGAAATTCTCCTATTTCCCCCAGCTTTCCAGCCGCCTTTGAAGTGCTTCTGTTTATAAACTAACTTGATTTCGTCTTTCATTGCATCTCTTTTGTCTCAACCTAATTTGTTTTAAAATAAGACATAACCCAGCCCTCGCTGTGGTTGTATTTACAGAGCAGCCAAAGGGCTCTAAAACGGGCTAATTTCAGCGAAACGCCTTCTGTCCCTCCTCCAAACCAAGGCTGCCTTTAGGAGCTTTCCTCTCTCTCAGAGCCCTGAGTGTTCCGAGCCGCTGTGACCACGCAGGGCTTGTTGGAACCTGGAGCTTTTCCTCCGTGTCCTGTTTACAAACCACGGCTGTTTACTCCTGGTTTGGTCCCCACGCCACATTCATCCTGTTCCTGGAGCTGACTATAAAAAAAAAAACGGGCTTTTGGGGGTTATATTTCCTTCTCCTGCYGCTGTAATCCTTCTGGAGAGAGCTGGAGGTCGTGGTCCCGCTGGGCTCCGCTGCCCAGYGCAGGGGCGGCCGCAGGCCCGGTGCCCCCAAGGCCGCTGTGCTGCAGCTCACAGAGATTTACCCATGAAATAAATCACTTTTATGGTTCAGAAACAATGCATCGCCCACTGTTCACATCCCAAATCCCTCTTGCTCCCAGGTACAGGAGGGTTTGTGTTGGCAGAGCAATGGGAAGGCGCCTGTCCGCTCGTGTGCTGCTGCTGGGTATYGAAGATGAGGGCTCGCTCCCTGCTCGGGTCGCTTCTCAGGATTCCTAAAGGTAATTTTCCCCCCCCTACACTGCTGGCAGAAGGGTTGGGTATTGTTTTCTCCAAGGTTCGGCTTCAGAAAAGGGCGAAAAGAAAAAAAATAAATAAATAAAAGGCCGTTTGGCTGGCGATCCCTTGAAGTTTTTTGCSGCTCCCCGGCCTCCCCCAGCACGCACCCGGCCGCCGGGGCCGCAGCTCCCCGTTCACCCCGTGAGATGTGATGGAGTGTTATTGTTCTTCCCCGCCGGGGGAGCGGCCCGGGGCGGGGACGGGGCTCGGGGCTCGGAGCTRCGGCCCTTCCAGCCCGGCCAGGGTGGGCGTGGGGACGGGCGGAACAAAAGAAACTTGGCCGGTGCCCGCTGGCTGCCGCTCGGCACCGAGCACCGAGCAGCGGCGGGACGCGCACCGACACCGACACCGACACCGACACACACCGACCGCACCGACACACGGCTCCGGACCGCAGCCCCGCCAAAGCCGCACGCACCTTCTCCCGGCCCCAAAAGCGCCTTTTTCCGCCCCAAAGCCGCGGCAGGTGTCAGCGGCACTGCCCGGATCGGCCCCTCCAGCCCCCCTGGCCGTGCCCGGGGCTTTGGGGCCGGAGGAGCCCCCGCACCCCGGCTCGGCCAGCGCACAAACCACGCACCCGCACTTTGCCGTCTATTTTGTTTTTCTTTCGTAAAAATGTTTATTTAAACCTTTTTTTTTTTTTTTTTTTTTTTTTTTTTAAACATAATGCGGAATTTATTGAAAATAAATAATTGTTGGCAACTGCAATAGGCAATTTTGGATAAAATAGTTGAAAAAAGCAACCTTTAATGAAAATAGCGTTTATTATACATCAGTTACTAAATGAATAAACTAAATGATCTTTCTTTAAATTAATAACTTCCAAAAAACGTTTAATATACAAAACTGTACAGTTATAAAGTTGGCAGAAATA